CTCTCTAATGTCTCCTCCTAAATCTGCTCCAGGATGTCTTGCTTGTCGGATGTGGGTGGATCTGGCATTGCATTTCTTGTGCACCAAGGCACAGAGTTCTTGGGAAATGGTCTCAGGAGTTGTTATTTCCATAACTCTCATTCTCCAGGGACTGGGGGAAGTGGGGACAGGAAGAATTGTGAGAGTAGCTATTATAAAAAGAAAAAAAAAATAAAAAAACAAACCCAAAAAATTTTCTCTGGTGCTGTGCATGCTTGAGCTCTAAAAGCACTGTCTTCTAATCTCTATAAAAGTCACTGAATTTGTTGGCTCAGCTTTTAATTCTTTTCGTGGTGAGAAAGGCACTGCAAGGTGGGGGGAAAACTCCAACAAGACACTGCAAGGTGGGGGGACAATTCCAATAAAACACTGAGAGGTGGGGACACAACTCCAACACCTTCCCCCAGCAGCCCCAGGCGTGGCTCACCCTCCCTCGCTGTCAGCCCCGTGCCCCAGCAGCCAGCACGGGCGCTGCAGAGGGGCTCTGCACGGTGCCAGGGCGGCAGCAGGGCCAGGGAGGGCTCCCACACCTCAGAGCTCCCAGACGCAGCTCTGGGTGAGACAGGAGGGAAGCAGAAAAGCTGAACATGCAGGTTGGATTCTCTCTGCTCACCCCTCTGCTGGGTTTTGATTGACAGAGAGAAACAAAAAGCAAACATATTTTCGGAGGTGCAAAGGAAGTAGTGGCAGCAGACCTAAGTTCAGGGGTTTTTCTGGACTGCAGTTTTCAAGAGAGGAACAATGGTGGGATGGCAACAGATTGAATTGCCTCCCTGCTTGATGTTTTTCTTTGCTTTTATTTGCTTCTTTTTCACCAGGGAGAAACATTTGGTGTGGGTGCTTCTGAAACGAAAGGCTTGGAGGCCTGTCTTCTGGCCTCCAACAAAATAATTTGTATTTTAAAAATTTCTGGATAAATGAAACTTCTGCATTACTAAAGACGACATCAATGTGCATGAAAAACTTAATTTTAAATGGAACTGTTTTGAAATGAAAATGTTCTTTTTAGATAAAGTCAGAATAAAATGCTTTGAAACTTTTCTGCTTGGTTTGGTTTAGGAAGTGCAGTACAGCTGAAATGGACCTATTCCTCCAGGAGTTTTTTATTTTGAAAAAGCAGCTTTTTCTACCTGAAAAGCATTGCCCCCCTCCAGTTAGAAGCTTAACAGCGCTGGTGGTTTGTGGTGGGAATTTTCTGAGGTGCATAAATAACTTGGGTAGTTATGAACACTTTACCCAGAACCAGATTTATCATATTTAATATCTTAAATATTGGTGGAACAACTCATATTAAATCCTATGTACTATAATTTTTTCCTGATCAATTCCATATTTATAGCATTAATCATTTCTCTGCAGTTAATTAAGAGAATTGATGGCTCTCAGGCTTCCTTAAGCTGATTCTTTAAATAAATATATCAAACAAGATCTCTATTACCCAAATCAGACCCTGTCACAATAGCTGTACAGGGGCCAAAGGGACAGAAGCACAGATCCAGAGAGCATCCACAGGGACTTGACAAACAAAAAAGTGATATTTCAAGCTTGTGTCTCAGTGGAATGGGGAAATAATAGCAATATAATCAAGGGAGTGTTTGTGTAGCCCTTATGGTTTAAAAACCTTTTGCCTCAGCCGTGCTAATACTGTGAAACAAGGATGCTGATTATATGACCAATTGTTTGGCATGTGTTCCTAAACTGGTTTATAATTACCAAATTAATCTCTCTGAGGTATTAAAAGCCTATTTGCACAATCTTTGTAAAACTAAAAGGGAAGTGAAGCACTTTACCTGTGTTGATACAGAGCCCTGCAAACAGCAACTATTTGTTTTTGTAGCTGTTGTGGCTCTGGGAACAAGTAAATATAAACAGCAGGAAACACAAATACAGAGGCAGTGCAATTGGAGGCTGTCAGGAAGCAGTATGGTGGCTTCAGGAGCTGAATTCGGCTTGAAATAAGCTTTGTCTCAGTATGCGTAAGAGGCTTTGGCACTGTATCAGACCTCTGGGGAAGCCACTCAGCAGGGTGGGGATTACTATAGTTTGTGCTTCCCAATTCACAGCAAACTTGCTTCTCTGTCATAGCCGTGCATTAACTCTCTCTGTCCCACCTCGGAGCGCTTTTTGCGGGGGTTTGTTTGCTCTGGAGCCGGCATCTGCTCGGGAAGGAGCGGCACTCGGGGCTGGGGGCTCGGAGCGCACACCCAGGGAGGGAAGGAGGAATGGAAAGGAAAGGAAGGAGAGAAGGAGGAAAGGAAAGGAGGCACAAAGATGGCTAATTTTGCCAGGCTGCATGGTTCTCCTCCGCAATGCATGTGCTCTAGCTGCTCTGACAATACCATCTAAAATGCAAATGAATTATGCCTGCGTGGAAGGGCTGTGCAGACCTGCTGCTGGCATAAACTTCCTCCCGATGGGGATTTGTTTCCTTTCTCTGTGCGAACACATGGAGTCCGCTCTCTCTTTTGAGGTCTCACAAGGGTTAATTCTCTCTTAGCTGTGGGAATATTTTTCGTTAGGAGCAACTCGATGGTTATTCCTAACACATGACTATCAAAGAGTCAGATTAGCCGAGGGGGAGGGGAAGGACTCCTGAGTTTGCACTTCCTGTCTCTTAATAAAGCTGAGATTCCAGAAGTATTTTATATCCTTGTGGTTTACATAGGAAATTGTCTGAACACTCTTAGTAAGTTACTGAATATATGGCTGCTATATTGAGTACCGTTTGTCCACGGTCCTTTTTCTGTCAGTTATGTCAGATATCTAGAAAATGTTGTAAAATATCTTGTTACGGTGCACGGCTAAGTGAGGAACTATAAAATACAGTTTAAAAAATTTAAATATTTAAAATGTATTGAGAAATGTGAGGTGCACCAGTACTAAAGAAACAACAGCAATTGTTTTATATGCACTGCTAAGGCAATAAAATGTGGATTCCTTATGTAGGTCCAAATGTAGCAGCTGGATTTGGCTTTATGAACCATGAAAAATAGTTCCCATCTGGAAGTTGATGTTGAATAAAGATGCAACAGTAAGGCTGCATCTTACATGTAACATTTATACGTTTCCAACTCAATACAGCACTAGTATTGGAGTGGAAAGAGTGAGGGAGAGAGAGATGGGAATATACAAATCAGAAGCCTCTGGCCAACATTTTAATGTGCATTCTCTAGTTTAGGAGCCTCAGGTTTTGGCTGCTGGGTTGTTTTTTTTTTTTTATTTTTTTCCCCCAGAATAACCGTACCAATAGTCAACAGCGTACAAGTAAAAAAGGCTTCTGAACGTCTCACCTCACACCACATTCACTGCTCCAAAGATCATTGTATCCATTTCTCTGTCAAATAAATAAGAAAGTGATAATGTTACTATTCTCTGATATTCATCCCCCCAAGCGTCCCTACAGCCTTCCCACCTATCAAATTGGCATTTAAAAGTACATTCATGGGGCCTGCAAATCAGGAATTCTGTTTCAACGTGACTGGCCCCTTGCTCTTTACCTGCACCCTGCCATGAGCAGTGTTTGCAACATGCAAATCCCGCATTTTCATATCCCAAACCCCCAGTCATAAGATGCCCAGGAGATCCTGCTTCCTCTCACACAGAAATTTAAAGGTTGAGTTTAGAGACCTTTTTAGAAAATCTGGCCCCAGACAAAACTCTATTAATTCTTAAAAGATTTTGTCAGATTCATGATGCCCCAAAGTTTTCAAAAATTCAAATTACACACAAGCATAGTCCATGATAAAACCTTACACTGCAAATTAGGTTGTAAATTCTTATTAATAACATAAGGCAACAAAAAGTCAATAAAGGAATGAAGTTGGAACATTTTATTGGCTCTTTTTTGCTTCCTCGAGCAAGAATTATTTCTAATGCAAGATGAAGTGTTAGGAGACGTGATGATCCCCTTTTTGCCTAGAAGATGTTGTGAGGTTTCTTTAACTGCAAGACTTTCATGGTGGCCCCAGTGCTGCAGTGCATCTGGCTGAAAAGATTTCCTGTATTTTTCTAAAAGGGTGCTGTTATTGTTCCTGCTGCTCTGGTTGTTTCCATGAGCCTTTAAAATGAAACCAGGTCCCACGCCAGTTTGTGAGGCAGACATTTTAAATGTTGGGAAAACTTTAAAATCAAAGTTGGATTTTGCAGGTATTCATTGTCATCAGACCATGGGAATCTTGAAATACCTTTAATCCACATTTACCTTTCATTTGAAGTAACACCCCCACCAATGCTTGCAAACTGTATTCCTTTAACATAGGAAATAAGAAGCACATATGTTTAATATACTGACATGTGCAGCACTCACTTTGTACATGTGGCCCACTGATGTGATCATAGGCTTTCTTCAAGTTAGCTCTTCAAATCAGAAGGTAGTGTCACCCTTTCACCTCTGGATATCCTGAGATCCCACACCTACACACTCCTGCCTATTCTGAGCCCCTGCTTAGTGCAGCACTAGAGCACTGGTACTGGAGAGGAGAGAGAGAGAGAGGCTGGGGGTGATGGAAATATATCAGAAGCCCCATAGTGACACTTTTACGTGTATTCTCTAATTTTGGAGTCTTGGGTTTTGTTTTTACTTTAGTTTTTTTCTTTTTGTAGGATAACCCTGCTACCAACAAGCAAGAGGCCTTTGAATGTCTTCCACTACATACCTTCCTCCAAAGCACATTGCCTTCCTCTTCTTGTCAGTTAAATAAAAAGTCGTGCCCCTATTTTGTGATATTAAACCCCTCAAGCACTCCTAAAGCCTCTCCAGCCATGCTTGGGGAAGGCTCTGGAGGTTTGTCCCAGGAAGGTGTGGGGCTGTGCAGGCACAAGGGAGGCCACAACACCTTTGACAGAACTTTTGCCACAGCCTGAGTGTCTGCCATAGCCTTTTCTGAAGAAGTTTCTGAAGCTGAACTGAATGATGTGTTTGTGTGCTAGTGTTTGACTCTAGCAGTCTATTTTCCATGCAGGGACCTTGGAGTTTCTGGCAGATATTCCTCAGGCTGGAATCCAGACAGCTTGTCTGAGCACGGAGAAACTACTCGCCTTCAGTCCTCAAAATATTAGCAAAAGACACTGTGTTTGCTGCTCCTTGGATAAAAGCATCCCTAATGGTGAGTGTGGTCTGAAAATAGCTTGATGGACCTGCTTCAAAGGAGGTTCACACTTGTGGGTTTGATGTGTCCACAGCAGCCCAGCCCCTGCAGGGAAGGGGTCCTGGGCTGTGTCTGTGCCCCATGAGGGTGGCACTGGGCTGGGGCAGAGTGCAACAGGGGCAAAGGGAGAGTGAAGGCAGATTTGGGATGCAGGGTGGGAACAGGGAGGTCAGAGGAGCCAGTGAGGCTTGAGGAGGGAGGAGAGACCTCACAGCCTCCCTCACTCCATTCCCTCCATCGTGGGGCTGTCCCAGCTCTGCGCTGCAGCCCCTGCAGGTGCTCTGTGCACCTTGGGCAGGGAGCATGAGGGCAGCCAGGCTGTGGCATTCAGGGGACATTTCTGCTCTGTCTGCCCCTCAGTGGGCTGCAGGTCTCCCCCTTCCCTTGGCCTGGCAGGAGCAGGAAGAGCACAGGGCTGCATCCACAGGAACGGGCTTGTCAGGGTCAAGGATCCAGTTCCACTCTCCTCTGTCCAAAGCAGAGCAGATTGTAACCATTACCTACTTTGTCTATGCCCTGAGCATGCTCTGGATTCAGTACAAAGACCATAAGCATTCATTAACTTCCCTGTACAGCCTCCATGAAAAGATTCCCAGCACCTGGAGTAAGCCTATAATGTTGGCTATGGCATACAGAGAAGTTGCTATCTCTCCACTGCCTGTATACATTTATTGTTCAAGTTAGTTTTTGTAACAAAAATGGCATTAAAGAAATTAAATATCTAGGTTTTCAAGTCACAGATATATTTTTATCCTTAAACGTGCAGGAAAAAAAAAAAATTGAATGAGGGAGACTTCTATTCTCATTTGCAGGATCTCCAGCCTTTTCATTGTTTAATTCACGTGCATGCAAATGTAGGGATTATGCAAGCCTCGGCAGGGCGTGCTCTGGAAGTTGCATCCACTGCTGAACAATTTAAGGAGCTAGGTTTCATGGAGTTTGGCAATCCCTTCCAGAAGTGCTGAATCTAGGCCAGGATTTAGGCTAGACTTGCACGGAGCTATTAGAAAGCATAGGTTGTGTGCAGTTAGCCTGGGAGCTGCAGAGCACAGCTACAGTCCTGCTTCTGTCCAGTGGCCTTAATAAAGATTCCCATTTATATTCATTACTGCAACCAAGTCCTGCCTCTAATCTATCGCAGGGGACGCTACAGATATATTATTTCTTTGTAGTCTCAAAATGCTCAGATGGTTTTTAACCTTATTAAATCTGAACCCCTTAAATGTGCTTCTGAAGCAAAAGTTTTAGCAATAAGCCTTCCAAAAAGTGCAAGATTTACAAAGCAGATTTATGGCTGTGTGGTGAGTTAAGTAACGTTTCTCTCAGCATATCATTTGCCAAAATTAGAGGAAGGTCCCTGCTTCAGCTGAACAGGGAGCATTAGGAATGTGTATTGTGCTGGTAGATCAGGCTGTTAGTGCTCTAAGAAGCAGGACAACAACATGTTAATTTACCTAGATGATGTTCTGATGGTTGTTGCATTTCAGGAAATAATAAAACTTTGTTTGGATTACGGAATGCTTCAAAGTCCTCAGGATTTCACATTTACTGTATGGGAATAAAATTGGTCATAACATGCCAGAGTCTCTATCTTTGTTTTTTAATAGAGCCAAGAAAACAATTATTTCAAAAGGTTAAACCACAATCACATGTACTGTGGCTCCATGCAACTATGTGATTGTTTCTAAGTGTGCAGGTGCTATATTGGTGTTTACAAGTCAAGGATCAGGCAGAGCTTTCAGAGCCTCTGTGGTACATGGTGCAGCATCATGGCAGCTTACTTCACACCAAAAAAAGGCACACAGGTTCAGAAGTTGTAGGTATTGATGAATCTGAAACGAAAAGACAGATCTTCCTAGTCAGCTTAGGATTGTTTTTCTGGTCAGAAATTATGTAAATAATGGTTAGCTGAATGAGAAAACTCAGTGTTACTAAAATAATATGCTATCAGGTTTTTGCTATGTTGTGTAATAACTAAGCAGACTTTTTGGCTACAGAAAGAGGAAACAGTGCATAGACTGCACTTTGATTTCAGCATTTGGTAAACAGTATGATAATGCAGATGTTTGTTCATTTTTCATCTACATTTTGGGGCCACATGTTTTCAGTCAAGATTTGGAGACTTATTTTCTGAGTTAACTGTTTTCTTCTAACTGTATTCTTTAGATTATGATTTTAGAGCCAGCTGAAAACTGAGGGGGACCTGCCTAAGACCATCTCTACCCTCACAGTAGTTAATTTTATTGTATGAGTAAAAGCAAAATTCTATGAGAGTATATGAGAGTATAGGATTAAAAGCCAATCAATGAAGAAAAAAAAAATGGCCTTAGAAACACCAGTGTCAGCATCTCAGGGGCAGAAATTCCCCTTTTTATATTATAGGCAAAAAGAGTTCTAGAGTGGAGCCTTCTCCCAGCACCTGGCCTGGGATAGGATGTGTATTCTGGCAATTTGGCTAAATAAACAAGCTGAAAAATCAGCAAATCTACACTGTAAAAGCCTGTAGCCAGATGCAACAGGAAAGCAAATTTTTCTGTCTCTAGGCAGATTGGTACAAAATGCAGTTGAGGGATATCTTTTCCCTAGACAGAGAAAGCAAAATTTGGATGAGTGTTTACTCCATCTGCCTGTTTTGGACAATGGTGTTCAAGGTGACCAGAAAACTCTTCAAAATAACATACAAGTGTTCCTCTGGAGGAATTTCTGTAAGTTTTAAGTGCATTAGATTCCTATATGGGTGGATACTGATTTTTTATCAAGAATGTGTCTCCTAACAACGTGGTGCTACTGACAACAAATCTCATCAGTGTCTTCCATACACCAGTCACTGACTATTCGAGGGAGAAGGAATTTCCTCGAGTAACAATGTTTTATAGTATGCATCCATTCAAAGTACATTATTTCTGTGGGTTTTATATTAAGTGGAAATGTATTAAATGCAGTATGAACCAATTGATCAAGTGAATTTATAATATGCATTTATATGAAGTGTTCCCAGAAATTAATTAACAGAAAGTTTAAGGTTAGTTCTGTATTTATTTGAGGTTCTTTTATGTATCTTTAAAGTACTAGGAGTTAAAATTTCCACTTTTGAAATTGAATTCTGGGCTATAAGACTAACTTGGAAGTAGATCTATCTGGAGTGAAATCTATATCACTTGAGGAGAATCTTGTTCTAAATATGTATTGCCTTCAAAGCAATAGATATCATCCTTTGTTTGTTTGTTGATAACTTCTCAAATACTTTGAAGAAAGAAGTCTCGGGGTGCATTTGCAAACTTGGCACTTGGCAGAAGAGGAATTGTGAAGACTCAAAATATTGTAGTGTCATGTTCTTGGTCTCTTTCAGGTGATATCCAAAATGCACGAGGTCTAAAACTGCAGACTGCCAGAGCAATTAATCAGTGGAAGCCAGGGACGAGGATTCCTGTGTGACTTGCAGAAAATCCATGGATGTATCCAGCTGCCTTCAAGCAGCAGTAACCCCTGGGGGGAAAGGCAGGATGCATGTCTCCACTGGTCATCCCTAGAGACAGCTTTAAGGTGGTCCCAGCTCCCCTCTGTTGGGGTCTGTGCTTCCCTGGAGAAGGCTGGTTGCACCTCAGGCAGGAAAACGCCCAAAGGCACAGGCTTGGCTGTGGGGATTCCCTGCTGTGGGAGCCCTTCAGACACCAATATCTGTCTTCTTTCCTATGTGGAAACTTAGGAAAGGGTTGAAATATATCTGAGGGAATTCTGCCAGCTATTCATGTATCTACATTTTCTACTCACTCAAGGAGAGCAGTGGTAACCAATGTACTAAAAGTCTTCAAATGCTGACAAATACAATTTAGCTTTGAAGGCTGCCAGCAATTCTATGGTAGTAAATCCCATTTGCAATCAAAGGGTGAGTCATTAGCCTTGACATTTGAGAAATGGAGATTACTATGAATTTATGAAAAAGGTTCCCTAAAATGTTTCCTTAGCAACTGCTGCTGAGGAGCCTGGGGCATCTCTCAGGTCCCCAGGCTCAGGAAAGCCAGCAGCAGTGGAGCAGATGGTTTCCTATCCACTTGCTGTATGTAGTGCTAAGGGATCACTATCCCTATCCACTCAAGTCTTGTCTAAGTGAGGAAAAAATGGTGTTTTCTTGTGTTCATTTATCTTTACTGAGCTGACTTAATGCTGCTGGAACTGTTGCAATGGGCACAGCTTATTATACAACCCAGAGGCTTGAGTATCCTGCACAGGGCTATGAGCAACTTGGTCAGTTCCAAACATGAGCCCAAGTGAAGTGATATGACAGCTTATTGCCGTCATAAAAAGCATGCTGTTTTATTTCAAAGGGGTTTCGTTAAAAAAAAAAATTAGAGAAAGTTTATAGTTTTTCATTTATCCTCTCTTTCTGAAATGCTCTTAAGTCCTCTACTCAATCTTTTACTTATAGCCGTGAGTTTTTCTTCTAGGTCAAGAAGACAGAGTAATGAAGACTTCCCATCTGTAGAGAAACAACAGAATATTTATTGACCTGCTGTAAAATCGCAACCATTGACAATATTAAGTATTTTGTAACTTAGCCAGTAAATTTAATCTCAACACATTTACTTTGGTTAAGCCAGAGAAAAGTACTTTTCTCTTAGTTAAGCAGGATCCTTAGCTGGCTCAAAAAAGGTGAGAGACCTCAAGGTGAGCAGTGGGAAGGTGAGAATGGGGAAGAAGGGGACATGGTGTGCAGACAGACCTGGGTGCTCCTTGAAATGGCAAAGGGGGTGGAAGGCATTGGGGTTGTGCAGAGGGAGGAATCTCTTGGGTGTACTACAGCAACATCTGTGCCTTGCCTCAGTCAGGTAGGCTGTGAAACCAGAGATAAGTCCCAAGAAAAGCTGTATGATTCCAAAGCCATGGAGAAATACCCTTATGGCATCTGCATGGACCAGTGCAAAAAGTTTCTTCTGGACCTAGAGAACAAGTTTTAGTGAAGAAATGTGCAGCAGCTCACCAGCACATACTGTATTTTTTTTTTCTGTTGTATTAAATTAATTTCTTTAGTAAATTAAATTCTAATTTTCTGTTTCCAGTAGTCAATATTCTATTTGCATGACTTCCTTTGGTGGTAACATCTCATGAATTTCATGTGTATGTGATTTTTTTTTCTTCAGGATTTTTCAGCTCCAATAAAAAACCTAACAGCTTCTAAGGAAAAGATACTACTGCCACAATCCAAATATGAGCTTAGTTCTTAGCAATTCTGCTGCAGAATATTTTCAGGGGAGTGGCTGCACTTCATGACATTCTTACAAAAATATGAAGAATATTAATTTTTTCCAATGGAAATCAATCCTTTCTTTTCTCCTCTGTGAAACAAGACACTCACCGTGTTTCTATTGCTCCCGTGCTCTACATCCACTGAGAATGGCCTGTCATTCTGCAAACTCTCATGTATTTTACAGAGTCAACATTGCTATTCATCTCATGCGACTGCAGCCAATCTTGGCTGCCAGGTGAGACGCGATGTTGAAACAGAGAAACCATCTCAAGGAAATACAAGCTCTCAAAGCGTGAATGGCTCTGCGGATCAGAGAAGGCATTTTGAATTACACCTGGAAATGAAGCGGGGAGCAGCCGAGTCCCCAGAGCACGGGTGCAGGGATGGGGAGGAGGAGCGGTGGCAGGGCTGGCGGTGCCACCCTCGCCCATTAGGCTCTCGCAGGTCGGGTCTGCGCACATCGGGGATGATTGGGAGCAGCTGCAAGCTGAGCCCAGTGCAGCGCTCCCAATACATTCCAGATGATGAATATGATGCAGGCTTACTGGAAGAAAAATATATTTCTGAAGAGAAAAACAATTACTTCTCAAGGCAAGACAATGAAGCTGAACCGACGCTACGTGGGCATAAAATAGAGCAGAACTTTTGGGCAATGGCTTTAGCTTCTAATAAATCACCCACCTGGAGATACTTTTGCAGAGTGAGCTTGGATGTATCAGACCTCAAGTATTTTCAGAGGTATATAAAGTTGAAAAATTAGTAATTTAAACCTTTATTTTTCCCCAAAGGGACGGACACTTTGTTGTGTCATAACCTCCGATTTTCATGTTAGCAGAAAGGTGCCCTTGCCAGTCCAAACAACACGTGGGCTGTCTCATGGAAGTTATGAAAAAAGGCTTGGAAACACCACTTGATACAGTGGGTTTCACTGGCTGAATCTTCAGAGGGGACTTGAACGAAATTTGCAAAAACATGTCAAAAGTTAAGTGGCGAAAATCAGCTTAAATGCCTAATTTTAATTTTGTTTGTGCTCTTTGTTGTTTCATTGTGGAGGGAGGGAAGAAGCTGTCTTTTTTCTCCCTGTCCTTTCATTTTGTTTGGGAGAAAATGGATGTTGGTGAAAAGAAGAGAGCTCTGGCAGGGACTGGAAAGAGGTTGTTTATTCTGTTTTGTTTTCTTTAGAAAGGGGCAACTCTTCTAAAACTGGTGATGATCCAGTTAAAGGGGGACTCCGGGTGGGGAAGAGAAAAGAAAACTAATAATCAGCCTCTAAATGACAAGTTTTCTCTTGAACAAAAGAGCAACAGGAGGCAGTGCAGGCAGGGGGTCAGTGCCCAGGGGTAACGTGACCAAAACAATGGATGGAGAATGTGTGCAGCTTTTGCCACTCCAGAAGCTGCTGCCCCAGTGCCCTCACTGAGGGACTGCAAGGGTCAAACCTGATCCAGTGCTGGGCAAGTGTGGTGCCACTTCTGGAGTCCTCCGAAGAGGAGGCAATGACTGACTGTGGGTAATGCAAGCAGGAATTGAAGAATTCCCAGGGAATCCCCCCAGTTCTGAATGACAGTGTGACTGAACAGCCCCAGCCAATAAGGCAGGGTCCCTACCAGCAGTGGGGCTAAAGGCGGGGTTTAAAGTGACTTCTGTTAAAGATGGAGACTGCTTGGCATCATCTGTGCTTCCCTTGCACTTGGTTAATTGCCTGTTGGGGAAAGGCAGTGGTGCTGGATAAACTGAAGCGAGATGATTTCAAACTATTATGAGCGTACACGCAGAAGTTCATTCTGGTTTAGACTAAATTGGTTTTAATTTCAATTCATGTAACTTCCGTGTGGACGAGGCCTATGGCTTGCCATTTTGCAGCAATGGTGAATTTATAGCATATGTGCTGCAAATGGTCTATCATGCAAATTCTCCTGGTATTTGCTCCTAGTCCAGTTCCAGCTGTCGGTGGAGATGGAGGAGCAGAATAGACCACTCACACGGCCTCCCATGTAATGCAGATTGGATCCATTGTCAGTCAGATGGACTGGTGGTGTGGGAGCAGTGTGAAGCCAGTTCTTTCACTACATGGTGTGTAAAGCAATGAGGCAGACAAAAGCTGGATTTAAATTAGGGAATATTTCTGCCAAATTTCGTTCTCTGAAGCAGAAAAATAAAACACTTAATGTGTCTGGCAATGTTTATTCTGTGCACAGGGTTTTAGCTGATCATAAAAGAAGAGCTATGTGTGAACACTATCTGGCAGCTTCATCATATTCTGAGGAGATGAGAGAGTATGAGTCCACCATGGTCTGAAAAAGTATCGACTGAGAAAGTGGAAACAATTTGGCAGGAAAACAAGATGGCAAGAGAAAAAGAAAAAAAAATAGGTTCTTTTCGATTAGGTAGGAATTACCAGTTATAATGACAGCAAAATTGTATCTGCCACAAAAGCTCCATTTTAAAAGTCCTTGATGTCCTCAGTGTCCTGCTCAATGGCCAGAGGCTTCCTACTTTGCCTTCTTGCTGCTTATTCAAAGAAAGGCAACATCTGAATGATCGGAAAATATATGTGCTGCTCATGCAGTAACTGCACGTGCATGAAAATAAAAGAATTCCTTGCCTTTGCGCCATGGGTATCTGTGCTGATAAGGAGGCAGTAACCCTCATTACATGCATATTTGAAGACTTGGCCCTGAATTCTACTGGTGAACTATTTTCCATGACTTTTCCACTGTATCTTCTTAGAGGTTTGTGCTCCAATCATCCAATACCTTGACAGAAATAGAAGACTGTGTTAAAAATAATCCAAAGAAATAATACAAGATCACTTTTAATTCAAAATTATTGAAAGAACAAGTATCAGCTAATGTGAATGAAAACATAGTTGTGTAATCCAAGTAAGAAGAATGTCAAGAATAACAACTTTGTAACTGGGTTTGGAAAAACAAACAATTCTTTCCTTTCTTTGCATAATAAATATGATGTGGGTAGCAAAAAATAACATTTTATGAATGCTGTGACGTGTTTTTATTTCTACTGGTTCAAAACAGCATTTAGTTCTTGAAATTAAATGGAACCTGATTGAGGTTTGTCCTTTCAGAGCCTTGTCTGGTATAAGGTAATGCATTGGCTACCCTATTGATATTGTAATTTTTTCTATTATACATAGAAATTCTCATATTGCAAGTTGCTGGGGCCCTTGATATTTCACAAATTTGGGATCATTAAGAATGTTTTCCATGTCAGAGCTATACTAATTGTGACTGTGTTGATGACATCCACCATTCTACTTAAATTGAAAATTGCTGCTTACTAAAGAAGTTGGACCCTGAGCTTAAGTCCTTGGTGACTGATTTGATTAGTCCATTTGAGTGAGAATAGGGCAACACAGGGGCTATGTTAATGGAACTTAAACAATAGGCCATCACTAATCAGAGACCTCAAGGTTGAAGTGAGGTTAATTGTTATGCGGGTGGTATTTGAAAAGAAGTGTTGACTGGTGTAATGCACTATGGGACTGTAGCATTTGAACATGCAGCCCTAAGGCCAGAGGTTTTGTTTAGTTTCCCAATGAAATTTAAAGCTACATTATGTACATCTCTAAACAACAGCCTATATGCTACTGCCTTTTGATACATCACAAGAGCAACAGCTAATTGATAACCGAAATGAGCCCCCAGGCACAAAATTCAGATCCAAATCTGGTACTGGATTTTAATCCCTTTCTAAACTTGGTGAGGTGGGAATTGATTGAGTTTTGATTAAGCCCTTCATGAAATGCACATACAAGATTGAAATGGCTGCCCCGCCCCCAAAAGTTTAGAATATTCTAAATTCAGTTTCAGTTTAGTCCTAGAGTGCACATTTGGTGGAAACATATGAGCTGACAACTACAATGTCAATGCAAAAACATTTTGGCATAATTGGGAAGAACTGTTATTGGTATTGCTGTGCAGAGAGGGATTTTATATCTCAACATGAGTGGCACGAGTTCTAGCTAGATTTCTGAGGGGATGCAGCTTGTATGAAAATATTGGTATTTCATCCTCCAGAAACTGTGAACCTGTAGAGATGAAGTCCCAATCTTTGTGAAAATAATCTTAAGGGGAACAGAGATTCTTAGTGATCCCACTGACAGGGAGGCTACAGACTTGGCAGACATTAAATGTACTATAGACATTAAATTAGCCTGCAATTTACTGCAATAGAAACAGATCTTGTAAACTGGATTGATACGTGCTTAGGCTCCTTACAACTCCATTTCATGTGGCTCACAGGACTTATTTTTAATTAAATAGAGTTTGGACCTCTGGCTTGAATGCCTCCACTGCACATGTGATGTAAAATTTTCTGTAAGGAATGTATTAGCTGTGCACTGCAAGACTGGCTGGTGGTGCAGCCCTCCTGGTTGTGACTCCAGTACCACTTTGGTGCTGGCATATGTCTTTAGGCTTAGTTTCCTCCAAAGGAATCTGGTTTGCAACCACAGACTAGTGGATGAAGCTGCTCTGGTGTGAATGCTTTCAAGGAAATTAATGAGATGAAAAAGAAAAAGAAAACCAAACTGGGGCAGGGTACAGTGAGGGAAGGGGAACAGCTCCAACATAATCAGCAATAAAAATAACTATTGATTCTAACAAAATGTGAAAAATAATGACAAAGACAAGAGGTGGTATAGGTGGAAAAAAGAGACTTCTTCCTTCTTTTGCTGTAAATCAGCCAACCATTTTTTTTTCAGAATGCAATTTTTTTAGGAAAACAAATTTCCCGTTTTTGTGCATGTAAAGTGGCACTGGAAGAGGGGCAGGGAGAATGTGCCAGCACACATAAAACTCTAGTATGAGCATGGGAAATTAAGGACATTTTAACACAATCACATAAGGAATTTACAAGGTCCTAAGTCATGAATAAGTGCCTTATTCACAGCAAGCCAATATTTTGTTGTATTCCCATGGCAGAAACAAAATGATGGGCAAGAAATGGACAGACACATAATACACACTCCAGTTGTCCTTTGCAGTCAGTGCCTTTCCCTAAAAAGAATCCTTTCTCTATTTTCATTTCTTCTATCTAAATAATCACTCCTCCCAAGCATACCCAACATTAGCAAAGTCTTTCCAATGTGATCAGAAGAGTTACTGGGTGCTGTAGACAGAGCAGCTGGGGGCCTTACAAAAACCACTGATTCAAAGTATTTTAGCACAGTATCCCACACACCAAATAACTACTTAAATGAAAGTTTAATTGCAGCCCCTAGGGAAGGATGGAGGAAGGGTCAAACTGTTAGACACATGTGCTTTGTTCTTTGTAACAAAAGCCTTTGAGCGTAAGTAAATGAACTCTGAAAAATAAAACGAAATTGTGTTTTGATGTTTTGGATATCGACTATATGGGAGGAGAACACACAAAAGGAAATGAGGAGCAAGTTAAAAAAAAAGCTGTTTGTTATCTACTGCACCATTTGCATTTGCTTTAAAAATCCCAGTAGTGTTCAAACTACCTGCTTATATTGCACTCTGGGCAAATTCAGGGCTCAGGGTTAATCTGGCTGGGATTTCTTCCCTTGCCTGTGTATTACTGCATCTATTGCAATGTTTAAAAAAAAAAATCATCTCTTTTGGGTAGTGTCTGAAGCTCCACACTTCCACAAGGACAGAATGTGCTGGGAGCTGTACAGATGCAGAAATAGGGTCCTATTCTCAAAGAGCTGAATGTTCACAAAAGGACCCAGCAGCCGACAGGTGGTTGCAGACTGGTTTTCTCAACAAGCATCCAGCCCAGCCAAGCGTGCCCTACTGAAGATTTGTCCCATTGAAGTCAGATGAGAGTATTTTCAAGTTCAAATGAGCTTGAAAATTACAAGGGACATTTCTCACTGTGGAGGCACTTTTTTGCTGAAAAAAAAGAGAGCAGAACTGTGCCTCCTGAAGACATGAAATCCTTCTCCCCTGCATAAGGCAGGTGGTATGAAGAATGGGGAGGAAATGCATTTAGCAGAACAGGTGGCTTGTTCTCATTGGGATTAAATCTTTCAGGTCTGCCTTTTGCTTTGGAAACTACCCTTGCTTTCCATTCACATGGCCTCAGTGTGAGTCTGTCTTCTGTTTCTCTGTGATGCTGTGAATTATCATTCTAAATATCATTAATGTTCGAATTTCTTCCACACCTTTTTGCTCTGCCCACCAGTCACTGAGCTGACTTTCACAGGGACATTCAGGAGAATTTAGACTGCCTTGGTTATCCGATCAAGTGCCACTAATTCAACAACTATGGAGATGCCAATTATATCTCTTTGGAATGTATTCTGAATTCGGCTCCCTCTATTTATGCAATTCCACATCTTTGGCTTCAAAGATGTCTATAAACAAGTGTTATCCATGGCAACTGATGGAATAAATAGACTTTATTTTGGAGCTTAGAGCTTTCTCAACTTCATTACATACAACAGCCCCAATGCCAGAGCCTGAATTCAGAAAGATCCCCGAGCATAAAATATTTTTATGGCTGCCCTCTGTCGGGCCCTCTTATTTTAAGGGCAAAATTTGGGTTCTAAGTTTGTGTTCCAGGAGTTTTACCACTGTTCCCCTGGCAATGAGTGAGGTACAAACCATCTGCGATTGTTATGTACTGTGGGTGTCTCACTCCAGCCCTGTCACTCCATCCTTTAACCTCACTCAGCTTTCAGATGTGGGGATACCACAGGAAAGGTTCTTGCCAGGAAAGGGTCTTGGAGCTGTCATTCACTATCTAGATCCATCTCATTACACTGGGAACTCCAGCCTCAGCCAGGACTCCCACGGGATTCAGGGGGGATCTGATAGTGCTGAATAACTGCATGGCTTGGACCACGTGTTCATGCTGAAAGGGTGACAAGAAAGGCATTACATTCAACATCCGCACATGAAAAAAGAATTCGGCAGTGTATATGAGCCATCCTGAAAGTTGTGGTCCCCTTTCTACCTTACTTTCTTTTGCAAAAAGCTTCAAAATAGAATAATTTAAATGTAACAGACATCAGAAGTTTATTTAAGGATTTATTTTAATATGGGGATAATAAAAAAATTCAGTAGTGTTACATCTTTTAAAAAAACAACAGTAACTTAAGAGAGATCCTTCTGATTCACAGCTGAACTCTGTTTCCTCAGTGCACACTCACCAGATCTTTGATTCATTGTCCAATGTGAGTAAAAGCTTTCAGATGTTTTAACTAACTAAATATAAAAATTCTTCTTTCAGATCTAGATACCTTTTTAAAGGCTGGCTTTGGCTGAATCATCTTATTTTTATACCACAATCAACACAAGTCCACTAATGAAATAATTTTTAGCTGCTGAACTGTACTTGTTGTTACTTCTGTCTCATATGTTAGTGTTCCCAGGTAGTACAAAACCCCTCACTAAGCAAGCCAAGTTTAAAATTCCCCCAAGGTTTTCAAATCAGCCTTCAAAGATACCATTTTTATCCCCAAATTGCAATCTAAAAGTTAAACAAACTTTTCCCTGAGGTGAAGTAAGCTCACAGTGGACAGCAGACATTGCTAAACACGCCAGTGTGCCTGCTATATGGCCAAAGTGTTTATTCAACAGAAGCTTGGACGACAGCCACCACATCAATGTCACAGCCTCTCAGCACATGCGAAGGAAATACATGTGATACATAGCAAATTAGGTGTCCTGCTCTAGAAGGAGTGGAATGGGATTGATTTGCCACTTTTAGCAATGCTCTTTTACTGTCAGCTTGGCTTTGAGAAAAGCATTAAAGATTCTTGTCACAGATGTTTCTTTCATAAACTGTTGTGGGAGAATGACATTCTGCAAAAATGGTTTACTACTCTGCTTTCTTCTCCTGGGAAAACAAAGTGCGCTAGTCAGCCCAGCCAAATGGGCTCAAGGAACGCTCTTCAGTTATACCACAATAGCATTAAGGATCATGACATTTACAGAGCTGATCTTAGAAGCTCTCTTGGCAAATGTACAGTGTAGAGGTATTTATCCAAAGTGTGTGCCAT